GAACTGTTTGGGACCTCTCTCAAATCCTCGCATCTTTGGAAACTTCTTGGGTTTTGATAGTGCTTCTTCTCGCTCTCGTCTCGTCGTTCGTCAGACCCGGTGAAACCTTTTCTGGCCAACATTTCCTCCTGCTTGCTTGTTCACTCCCGAGTATCACTGATTTTCCGTCAGGACTCTCGTTACTTTCATTTGCCACGCCTAATTCAATCACATGGATTGTAGAGAGAGCACTCGGTTTTACTACACCCCAACCACGTGACATTGAAAGGGTGATGCCGAGACGGAATGTGAAAGTCCCATAAATAGTTCCTAATTACAAAATACCTCAAACTCGAATCTTCATGTTTGAGAAAATTCAACCGTTTACTGAGCTGAAAGTCGTGCTTAGAGGCCATTCACCTGTCAGCCTTATATATAACTTATGCTGTGTTGTCAAACTTCTAATTGTGATACCCCCTTCTTGTTTGTTTCTTATGAATTACTACTCGGTGGGTTATTTGAGCACCCCATTTCCAAATGTCCTAACCACGGAATAAATTGTGTTCCACTTATTCAATGTAGGCTTAAAAGTGGCAGAATCGTGAAAGCAAGCCAATTGACGACTTCCCTTCCCAGATGCCAGACTACACTTGTCGGAATATATTCCAATTAGAAAAAGTTCGCAGAGCAATGCACCATGTTCGTCACGTCATTCCAATTGCTCAAATTATAATCTTTAAGTTCGATGACAAACAGAAATGTCTTTAAATTCCAATTCGGTGAATATGGCTTATTTGGGCTTCCTACCCTAATAACCCGACCTTGAGGGTTATTTGAGCGCCCTTACAAAAAGTGTATTTTAATTCTTGTAAATAAATCCGCAAGTTTTTGCAAAGCTGGAACTCTCGTCTTCATCCTACCTATTCCGAGTAAGATTGCCGTTAAAAAGTAAATGGACTGTGGCCTAAAAGTGCCTAATTCTACCACACTCCCAAATTAGATGCAATATAATTTGAGGCTTTAGGGACGTTTGCTGGAACAGAATGAGAGCAAGCACACTTACACTAATTAAGTATAGCAGCTCTATTTAATGTCCTATTAGATATTGCAGTAGCTAATATAAAATTATAAAGATAATATTCGTAATGAAGGGGAGAAAGCAGTGGGAAACAGTATATTGAAGAGGTGAAACGTAGAAGCCGTAATAGACGAGAAAGAGGAGCTTCTCCTCCTGCGGGACAATACCAGGCAAACATACAGGGGAAAACCCGAGAACATGCCATTTCCTTTTTTTTTCTTCATCTATTCCTTTTATTCCATTGTGCATGGAGATCATATTGCAGCTCGACTTCTGCTTGCACACGTCGGGTTTCAGAAGCCTGATCAGCAAGAGAGGGTACGAACTAGAAACGGTGTCATCGGTACTCGCCTTATTGGTGAGGCATGAGTCCATTTACTTTCGCTTGCGTTCATCATCGTCTGAACAGTCTCATCTAACGAAACTTTCATTGGGTCGGCATGAAATTAATCTCTAGAGTAAGGATATTTTTCAGTTTCTCATGACACGAGCAACCGCTTCATGTAGCAAAATGAGATCCTCCAAAATGGATGAGTTCAAACATGGTGTGGAGATTCCGCGTTTGTGTCGAGAGGCTCGCTCGAACGTCAACACTAGCCCGACACCCAGAGAATGACTTAATTTGATAAGCTGTTGACTTTGGGCAGAGAACAGCTAAGAGTGGACTCGTACGAGTCCTATGCCAGCGTTAAACCCATATGACTTCATGTGCCGGACCAGACGTAACGTTTAGAGTCGAATGGATTCAGGCCCAAGTAGAATTAAATTCTTATCTTCAACCTCTGTCTCTAATCCAAAACCCCTCCCTAGCTGAACCGATTATAACGCAGCACGACTCAACTAGGCCAATTACCATGTTTTCCCAATTACCTTCCACGGACCAAACACCCTAAGAACTTGTTGAAATGGGGCCATATGCCAGGTTGGTGAAACCAGAATCCAACCCAGTCTGGGATCTATCGTTTCTACGCCATTTTTGATTATTCACAGTAACTGATGAAATAGGTGGCCGAATAGCAATTCCAAATCCCTTGGGCCCTGCTTGTAGTTCGCATCCCGCGACTATTCTTTCGATCGAAAATACTTCTCTCGTGAGAGAATGGAGCCTTTTTCTATATTAAAATGCCTTTTAATGAGACTGAGAGACGGGGTCCGTCCGTGTCCGTCTTAAGTCTCCTCCAAGCCAAGCGAACGCCCTTATACACCTGTGGAGTAGATCTTGCCGAAAGTGGCATGAACTCCCACTCTCAGCATCGCTAGGGAAAGAAACTGTCGCCTTGGATCTTTCTTCCGAAAGAATGAGTAAATGTTCCATATTGTTCCCTCAGCTCGAGGAGTGTTGTTACCCCGGGGGGTAACGGACGCTCCTAGTCTCTTCGCACAGAGACTTGGAGAGAAGCAGCATTGAACCAGCCCTGAACAAGATCCATACATGCCCCAAAATCCTTACTCAGTGAGCGGGTCTTCCACTTAGCGAAGCACTCTGGAATGTAAGGGGAATGTAATATATAAAATGCAATATATAGAAATTAGAGAGGGATTAGAGTGGACAAGGGATGAATCATAAGCACCAAACTGAACTACAAGGCAATATTGCATGAGCTAAACTTTCCTAGAACGATCTAACCTAGTAATCCAGATTAGAAGTAGCACAAGGATTTCCCGACACAATTCCAAGAATGGGCAAATAACAGTAAAATGTATTTTTAATCATTATTGCTCTTAACATTCATCTCCAGTGCTTGTTCTTTCAAGCATATTCTCACCGGTTCCTTGTTGGTGTGGTGGGGGTTGGTGGGGTGATGCTGTTTTTTGTGAACAGAAGCCGAAGTTTATTTTCTCGATTTCGTTTCCCTGCTACCAACTGATAAGTTTCCTTCTCTATTTTTTGGAAGGGGGTAGCTTACGAAGTTCACATCATCCATAATTTCCTGTTTCTGTGACAATTTGCCGACTGTCGGAGACGCGGTGCCACCAAGGACCAGAAGAGGACTGGACACTCCTCTGGAAATCGCGTATCAGCAGTCATCCACCCTGAGCAGGCAGCGAACCTGGTGGTCGCTGTATCGTGGAGACCTTGCCGAGTCGTCACCGTCTTATCTGTGACAATTTGCTAACTGTCGGAGACGCGGTGCCACTATAGCTCACTACAAAGCTCTTCAAAGCTGAAAATTGAGGTTCATAAGCAGGCTTTCAAACGCCCTTAAGCCCGAAACGAGGCACATTAGATCCTAAAGAAAAGACCCCATCCGTATCTTCTGAATAGAGATAAGAAGGGTACACATGTGTGCCTTATTTTGCTTCCGTACCTTTTCAACGAAGGTACTTTACGACATACATTTGTACCTCATAACGTACAATGTATGTACCTCGCTGTACGTTTCTGCTTTGCTGTGTACTAATGGTAGTATTCCGGTGAAGTCATTGGGACAGAAGTCTGCTTTCTTCAAGCAAAAAAGATTCATACCCTCTGTGGTTTCAGTGTCAACGTATGAAACCAGAATACATAGTGGTGAACTGCTGGCCAATGCATCCATGAAGCCTTCAAATTTGAAGCGGCATTAAGATCGAAATCACTCGACATTGAAGGATGAACCAGCCGAATTCATGCAAAGGAAGCTCGAAGAGGTAAGGAAACCCGAAAGGAATGATGAAGGAATCATCTTTGCCCAGAGCAATATATTGAAAGTGTCATTTCCGTATTTCAAAAAATTTAATTTTTTTTTGCGCGTCACACTGTTGCATTATTTTTGTATGCTTCTAAATTTGTTAAATTCAGGGCTCGATGGGTCGCGATATAAAAAAGGTTGAGAACCGCTGCTCTAATATGTTCTGTATTTTTGTGGTAGCAGTCTACTGCTTTCGCGCTAGTGGCGTCTTAGGACTTCACACCACTTTACAAAAAACAATTTCATCCTCTGCGCAGCTTGAGGACTGGTATTAGCGCTACAATGGCGGAGCTCCTGAGAGAAGAGATGAATGAAATTGGTGAAGCGGTTTGGCATTCGCATCAGAGGGGACGAGAATTCACCTAATTGAAAATTGGGCTTGGTAGCCAAAGCGTTAAAACATTTCAGGAGCGGAAACGATCACATTTGAATACGATCTAATCGGCTCGATCTTTTTCAAATTAATTATCAAAGTAGTCAATTGACCAAAATTATTTATAATCGAATCGTCATCGAATCCAGCAGGAATTTCAAGGTGGGTATAATAGGAGAAACTCATCCCATGAGCTTCGCAGCGAAATGAAGTATTTTCACCGCATTATTTCGCCAGTTACGATGGAAGACAAGATTTTCCAGGGGGCGATATAAGTAGGAAGACGGTGAAGGCAATAAGCCTTCTGGTAGTCAACTTCAATTTCACCTCGGTACTTCATCTGCGTTGTTCTATTCCTATAAACAGATTGGAAGATTCGGCAAGAACTCCAATAATGTTGCAACTTCGTGCAAGAGCGAAAGCAATGGCACGTAGTGCGCAAGATGTGTCCACTAGGCTCCTGTGACATAGGACACGTGATGAAGACGTGTTCAACTTTGCGATTGGTTTTCCATCTCCCAAGACCAGTTATAATTGACTGACTCATTATCTTAGCTACGAAGTTTCAGGAATACCAACAGTACTTGAAAGAATGAGAGGAGGACTTGCGATGCTTCGTACATAGCAACAGATACGAGCTTCGTATGAACGTCGTAGGAATGTACACATTCTTATATAGTTTTCATAAATAAGGCCGCTTAGATTGATTCTGTTGCACAGGATCAAGAATATTGGTAGATGTTACTGGATTTTATCGAACTATGATTCCATGAGGTTGGGATGGGAGGTCTATAAAATGGGTAGCTTCTTTTCCTCAATTATTTGGACTGTGGCTTTTCATTGCATCCCAATCCTTACCGAAGACTGTGTGACTGCATGTAGAGATAATATAAAGCAAGAATCATACTGCAAACATAGACTATTTTTTAGAAAAATACAATGAAAAACACAGCAAGAAATGGGAGATTAATCACCCAAGATTCTCAGTCCCTTCAAGTGGACTTTGAGGGAGGCGATGATATGGATGACATTTGGGATTTCTCATCACAGATAGCAGCAGATGTGGATTCCTTATCTCCTTTCCCTTCGCCTTCGATCCTGCACAGACTTTCTTTCAAGAGGTTCACAGTGGACTGAAGCATATCTATTGGCGAGGACATGGATGAAGATGCAAGGTCTCCCTCCCCATCTCCCTGCTCCTCTTCCTCCAGTCGAGGTTTCTTGGCCTTGTCCTTGTTAGCATCCTCATCTTTCCTTTTTTCCTCCTTCTCCTTGTCGTCCTCTGGCTCCTTCTTGGAAGATGCTTGGATAGCTTGGATGTGCACTGACAGAGACTGTATAGCATCAATGAGTGAGGCTGGTGGTGTGATCCCTCCATTCTCTGGGGCACATAGGAAGTAAAGAGCACGTAGATCTGATGTGAGCATAAGGGTGTGTGTGTCATCAGCAAGCTTCAATCCTTCATCCATCACTTCATGGGATATCAGCCCTGACACGTTCTCAACAAGGTTCTTCATTTGGTTGCTCATCCCAATACTCCCCTTCATCTAAGACAAAGACATCAGCATATATATGTGCAAATTTCCCAGATGGACTGCCACATGGGGAATTTATGAACTTCATCATATACCTTGGGAAAGAAAACGCAGAGGAAGCGGAATATGATGGAGTTGTTCAAGGAGGCCCTCTCATCCATCAGCAGACTCTCCACATACTCCTTCAGGTAGGGGGACTCTAGGAGTAACTTCAAGTACTTCCGATCCACATTCTGGAATAGAGAATACATCTTTATTCTTGCACTTGAAGCCACTGAGAAATGCCATTAGTTAGTTACAATGGACTTACTTGTGCATCATAGACATCCACCCAAAGCTTGGGGAACAAGGAAAAGTGTAGAGGAACAGCCTCAGCACCAACCATGGCATTGAGATTGACAAGCATGGGGGATAGGAGACTCTGATTGATGGCCACTCGACACAGCATATCCACCAATTGATGATATGGATAATACCAGGCCACTAACTGCTGATCATATACCTTGTCCACCCCCTGTTATCATTGATGGCCATGACATATCCATTTTGTGAAATAATCACAAGGAGCATTGCAAATGGAAAAACCTGTAAGCTAAGCTTACCTTATTGGCTTCAATGAGGGAATGTGGGAGAGCAAGTTGGATGATGGGTCTAGGTGGTCGAACAAGGCCAGTCCTCCCTTGGGCTTGATGAGATGGATGAGCTTGGTGTCCTCGCCGAGGAAAGAATGGACCTAATTGACTCATCACAGATCCACTTGCAGACCCTTGTCTCCAGCTTAGATGACATTGCATCAACAAAGGGACCAGTACATTCAATGTCTCCCCAGGGAAAACCAGTACTAATTCTCTCAGCAACTCTAAAAGACAAAAAAGGATAATCATCAGTATTGGCTATGGAGTCATCCAACAGCAAGATTCTTCAAGAGGATTGGATTTAATTGAAGCACAAACCAATAGCAAAGTGCCGAAATTCAGGAGGAGTGAAAGTATTGAGCAAGTAGGCAAGTTTGCGAATGATGTCAGGCCTTCCCCTGGCTGTGGTGAGCATTGTCTTCACTTCCTTATTGTCCTTAAAAACAGCTCGTGCACATCGTAGGCAATCCAACATAATGGACATTAACTGTACCATCTCTCCAACAACATGGCATGCTGTTGCCTCATGGTACATCACATGGAGGGTATCAAATGCCTGTTCACATCAAACCAGATTCTACATTACTCAAGAAACTATTAATTCCAATGAGGAGGATCACAGCACAATGACCTACTTCAAAGAGGAGGTTGATTCCTCCATGGAGGACAATGAAGATGCGGTCTTCAGGAGTCTCAATGAGGATATTGAGGGCCATGATGAGGGTGGCCCAGCCTGATCTTCCATCCAATACTTGAAGGTACAGCTGAAGTGTTGACCTCCTGAAGTGGTTTATCTCTGCCACCTCTGACTCTGTGCTGTCCTCATGTCTCATCAGAAACAAACGCATCAACTTGAATAGCTCCTCCACAGCCTGAAATGAATTAACATGATAACCAGTAAGTAAAACTACAGTATATCTGAATTTCTTTGTGTTGAAGAATAAGCCCCATTTGATCATACCATACTGTATTGAGTAGGATGTGGTGAAATGAACTGAAATGCCCAGCTCATATTCTGGTGTTGGGCTAGCTGGCGTGTGAAGGATCGGGATCTCTCACAGCATAACCGCAGCAGCCCGTAATATGCTGGCAGCATTGATCGATTGAAGATCACAAGATCCTGTTCATCCTGGTCTGCACTGTTAAGTTCATGAAAAGGCAACAATTGTCTTTCATCAATCTGTGCCATCCTAAGCAGCTGGTTGAATAGAGAGACAGGGGAAGATCATACAGGATGTAGATGAAGGGTAGCTGTTTGGAGACTTGAGGGTTCTGGACAATGAGATCCACATTCTGAGGGCTATCCACACAGACGTGATACCAGAATGAAAGCAGGGCTTGTTTGTTTGGGTGGATGGATACTGAGGGATCCGAGAGGTGAGGGTGAAAAAGGTTCCACAAGTCCATAAAGTATTGCCCAAACTGTTAAGTCCAAAAAAGGGACAAAATGCCATATGAAAAATAGTGTCAAAGAATGGAGGGTGGGAAAAGGAAAGTGAGGGTCACCAACCATGAGTTTCTCTGTCTTTGAGACAACACAGTAGTTCATGAGGGCAAAGTAAGTGTTGAGCTTCATTGTTCCATGAGCCTCAACATCAGTGTAGTGCACTGCCCGACCAAGGAGACGTAATAGGAGTCCATAAATCTCATGTAGAATGAGTCTTGCTTCGGGTGTAAGTCCAAATTCTCTCACACTTGGACTCACTCCACGAGCAAGGCGAAAATTCTTCTGGAAGTGAGCACTTGGGACCATGGATACAAGAAGATTTGCTGCACCTGGAAAAAAACAATTCCATTATGTCTTTTTTCCATAATGACTTGGAAGCCAAGGAAAGAGTGTCATTAGCTGAAGATGAGGAGGATCTCACTGATTCGAACACGCTGGTTTGAGTGAGCAATGAGGAAATGTTCAACCCATTTCTCCATGGTTCCCAGAGCCCAGGAATGAGCAATGGGATGGCGAGGCATCTGAAATGCAAGCCAATCAAGAACAGGAACAGCATTGATTTGTGCTGCTTCCCATGCATGCTGTAAAGCCAACTGCATGAATGGAGATGTCCCTCCATTTTCACACAACAGGGAAAGGAGTTTCACAAATGGCTGACTGGACTGCAATAGAAAAGGAAAAAGCATCTTGAGCATATGCATGCAAAAATGGTATAAAAAAAAAAAAAAAAGATGATGGAAACTGAGGAATGAGAAACCTCAATGTGCTTGGTGATGGTTGAGAAGATCATCTTGATGACTTGAAGTGCCATAGGCTCATTCCAACGCACTAAATTCAATATGATATTGGCTGTGTGCTTGAGATGGACATTGTCTTTGGTCTGAAGGAAAAGGAAATCCATCCTTGTTGGAGTTCCTGCACCATGCCCACCAATAAGGGCACAATAGTCACCCGATGAGAGGTGTAGCTTCCCATCCTCTCCTTGAGATTTCTCAACCAGATATGACACAAGAGCCAACAATTTCTCCAGGGATCCCATGCGATGTTCCTCAACCAATGAGACATTGGCCATCAAAAGTTCCTCCCCTGCTCCACTACCCCCTGTGCTAGTTCCTCCATTTTCTCCATCCTCTTCTCCATTTTCTTCTTTCTCTTCAACCTTCTAAAAATAAGAATAGGAGATTCAGACATGCCAAGAAGCAATTATAGTACCAACCTAGGTAGTAAAATAATTGGAGGCAAGGCTTCATTTCTATTTTTGTTTTTTACAGCCATGTCCTACCTGTTACTTCCTCATTGCTCACTTTTTTTAATGGTGTAGTACCATAAACAAGGGTTTAATGATATTATTTTTATAAACACATCTAAGCTATGTAATACAGTAGCCTCCTCATACGGCTCAGGATAATTTTTAGCATGATCTGGTTATTACATATGAAGGATTGCAGAGTGTAACAGAGCATCCTACAATTTGAGGTGACTAGATACAGTAAAAAAAAAAAATTGTTGATCTCGTGTCATACAAGCTAGGTAAAATGAAAATGCTTTTATCATACAAAGCAAATGTGCGGTAAGGTTGAAACCAAGGTTCTGGTAGACTGTAAAGGGTTACTTTAAAAATGACAGATTCCCTGAAATAACCAAATAGAACTCTAATATGTCATGTACAGAATATCTATAAGATGATTACATTTGATTGGAACCAGTCAATTCCTATTTACGAGAAGCAATTAGCCATCGCAAAATGTATGTGGACAGATTACATTAGTTATGGCCTCATCAAGTTCATGAGCATGTCCATTACTCTCATACATGCTGTGTCAATTGAGCACTCTATGCTGACAATAAAGTGATTGATGAACTCATGTAAGGAAAAATAAACCATTAAGACCTATAAAAAAGACCTACAAACATATCAGGAACTCATTACCACTTGTTGGTCCTGGATATGCAAGGTACTGCTCTGCTAAGTCTTGGTCACATCAAAGGGACAATTGAAGAAACAATAAAAACTTTCATGTCCTGGAAAATCAACTAATGGTTATTGTACTAATGGAAAAACCTAATAAAGTAATAAAGAAAAAAGTATAGCAAATTGTTGTAAAATGTAAATATTCACAATCATTCACTTTAAAGGAATTGCTAACAATTAAAAAAATTGTAGTGTTTACACAGGGCATTCAGTCTTGAAAGTCATACTTGAAAGAGTCACTCCTGTTTACATTATGCCAGTGACTTCCTGATATGTTAAATGATGTGATAGCAGCTTAAAAAATGCTTCAAGTTTTTACTGAATTAACCTTCAAAGTATATTTTGATTGCACCATAAAAGATGCAGGTAAATGCTTCAATGTTTTCAATAATGCCATCATGACTGATTGATATTCATTGTGCTTGTTCATATAGTCCAATCAGCATTACCTCAATTGGAGCCTTCTTGTATGTTAGGAAGAACTTGACCAGGTGAGAGATGCAGTTGATGGAGAGCAAATACTGAAGCTCTACATAGCCCATCTTGGCAAATTCCAGCAGGAATGTGAAGTATTCAGTCAGGTGTCGCACATGAGTCTGGGCTACACTAGTTTCAAGCTGTAGGACCAATACAGCTTTTTTTCAAGAGATGAAATGTTGCTATGGTAAGGGAGACACAGTAGGGGACTCACCAATGAGAGGATTTTACTGATGAATCGTGTAACACATGTCCCACTCTCTCCTATTGCCAGACTCGAGGAGGGGTTGATTTGTTGAACTTGAACATTCCTGAAAGAAGAAAGAGAACAGACTGATTTGAGTCACTTCTTTTTTTTTCCATGGGTGAAAGGTGAGAAGCAGTTTAGAGAACCTGAGCTTCTGAAGGACATGAATGCAGAGGCGATGAAACATCTGTCGCACAATCTGATTAGGGCATTTTATGAGAATCTGCACTGGCCACCAGTCTTCTTTTACCATGTGATCCAGAAACCACTCACATGCAGCTGGGCAGCCATTGAACTGCTTTATAATCACCTCCATCCACTGCACCATAGATGGCTGTGATAGACAAAAAAATGTAATACTCAGGGGCCTGATTAGAAACTTGCAGCTGAGTTCATTCCTATGGGAGCTCACTTTTTCCTTGGCATGAATGAATGTTTCCAAGAAGAATGAGGTTGAGAGACGGGCAACAGCCAGAAGGATCTCATCGTTGGACTCCAACATCTGGGGTATGTAGCCACACATCTGCCACATGAAGCTATAAAAAGTTATGGAAATGTTGGTATTATAAAGATCCCTGTCAGTCCAAATAAACTCAATTAAAAAAAAAAAGGAAAAGTACAGATCCCTACTTAAAATATGTATGCTCAAAGATGCTCTTGTCTCTGAGAAAATGTGTGTTGTCCTGCCAGATCCACTCTTCAAGCTCTTTGCTCAGTTCAACGGTGGGATACTGAGAAGGATCTTGGGACAGGTGAGAATGATGATGAGCTGGAATCTCAGGAGAGGCAGATGTTGCTGCTTCTCCATCTCCCTTGCCCGGTGGACATCGTTCATAAAACAGCATGTATGCTGAGTTTGTCTTCTCAAAGCTGAAGTCCATGAATTTTTCTGTCACTGCATCATATGTTTTGCTCTACAAAGATGGAAAAAATTTTCAATTTGAATTCTCTATATGTAGAATGTAATGCATAAACCAATACCTTTCAATAAAGATTGACCAACATAACAGTTGTTGATTTAAATCAACAAATATTGAAAAAAAAAAGCATGCAATCAATCTGACATCACAACTACCAGGAAGGAATGGAGACCTGCTTTAGCTTTTCTTCCTGGTCTTGGCTAGAGACATAGGCCCAAGTCTATTCATGGCTATGGGTATCAGAAAAAGGGTATAACAAAGTCCAGCAGCTAAAATGAAAGGATCTTTTTCCTCAGGCTAAACCTTGTATTTTACATCTTGTGCTCACCTGCCCTATGAACCATCCTTGTGTTCACGATGCATACTGCAGTCCCCTCCTCTCAGTGGCAGATACAGGGGGGGGGGGGGGGGGGGGGTGCCCCCCCCATGGCCCNAGGGGGGGGGGGTGACTGCCCCCCCTATGGCCAGGTTAGCATTTGATTTATTTATTCAAAATAGCATCTGCATTAAATTTTATTGGAGCCAGTGAAATAGGTACTCAAGTTCTTACCCCAGGCAAAAAAATAAAAAATGCGAAAGGACAAGGAATGGTGGTAGGCAGGAAGGGGAGGGGAGGGGGGGGGTAGGTAGAAACTTGGGAACCACCCCCCTATGAAAAATTTCTGTATCTGCCCCCTGCCTCCTCTTATCATCTAGGAGAGCCACAAGTCCTTAATATGACAATTGCAGACCTGTTTCCCTCCCACCCCATGGGGGAGTGACTCCAAGGGGTGATGGCAGTGGGATCAGGACCCCATACTTGTATTGCATGTGGATCTGTAAGATACCCTCTACAGCAAAGTAACCATCCCACTTTTCTTGATGTTTTCCCTTGTAGGGTATCTCCATGACAATTCATTGAAATTTTAATTGAGAACCTTGACACAAGGGAACATACATATGACCTGGTATGGATAGAGATGGAAAATAAAAATTAAAAAAACTGAAAAGACCACTGCAGCTGCTATGGAATTGATTGGCACCTTTTTTTATGCATCCAATCAATTTGAAGATAGTGATCTCCCTCCCATGGGAGGAAAATGGGACTTCAAGTTGACATGGACTTTTCCCCAAGAAATTAAGTAAGGGTGAAGGGAAAGGACTGCAGACTGCAGGATGTGTACATTCATCACTTAGGAGGTCAGGTCAAAACTCAACACTTGAAGGGTTAAGCAAGCTGGGATGGGCTCAGTGGTGAAAATGCAAAAAAATTTGCTCTTCATGAAGGAATATTATAAATAAATAAAGCTCTTCTGATGAGCAAATAAGTATGGTTTTTGTAGTTACATTTGATGCAGAAATATCAGCCAATTTCATATCAGTTACTTGTCAAAATTATTTGTTACAAATATCAGTAAGATACTGTTATCAGCAATATTGGAAAAATCCAATATCACTCTATTTGTACTTTCCATTTTCGCAATGCCATTTCTGTGATTAAGAGATAAAGCAGACCCTTTCCTGGTGGCATGTTCACCCCACCCATCTCATGGAATAGGGTGAGGTGGGACAAAAGTAACAATGTGGTAATTGTAACAATGCTTCATATTTCAGCAAGTACATTAGATACCATTTCCTCATATCCGCCTCATGATCTCGAAATTTGGGCTTAGGCCTTATCACATCATTTGTTAAGTCCACTTTAAGTCTACTTTTGCCTCATGATAAGTTGGGCTCTGGGGCAATTGTAACAACCAAGCATGGGGCAAAAGAAAAATCCCACATACAATATTTTTGGTGCTGCAGATTTAGAACTTTTCATCCTGTTTTTGTTCACATTTTTATCTGTAACAGTAACAGTACAGTACAGTACTTATGGGAAGGCCTGATAGGTCTCATCCAGGAATCGTTGAGCATGCACACCATCATCTGTCAGACTCATACTTAATGAAAACCATGCACAAATAGTAACATTGACCATATGGAAAACCATTCCTGACATAGCTAGGGAGCCAGGACTCCTCAGAAAGTAGGATTGAATAGAGAAAACAATTAATTTGGTAGATTCAAGAATGAATGTCAGGAGGCATCTCTACTAATTATATAACAACAACGAGGTCGAGCGTTCATTTAACCCTCCAATCGGTAAATGCTTGGAAAATATGCGAGGTCTATCCATCTTAAAGATGCATAAACTTTCGTGGGAGCACTACGCTCTACTGGCCACAGTCTAGTTCAAGGTTCAACGTTCAAGGTTGTTTAGGGGTATCAAGAGGCGATAACACCCATTGGGATACCACGTGTCGAGGTCGAGCGTTCCTTGATTTTAGGATAGACCTACTCCTCTTAAAGCTAATTTTTTTCGTATTTTTTTGAGTTTTGTGATTTTTTTTTCGCACATTCCAGTTGCTTATTGCCTAGTCCCGTAAGTCAATACTGCCCCTCTTCTTGCTTGTCCATAAAAGCATCTAGTTTCTTCTTAAAGATAGTCACGGAAGGGGCAGCCACTACGTCGTCGTTTAACGCATTCCACGCATTTACCACTCTACAAGTAAAAACGTCCTGTCTTAACCTGAGCCGCACCTGCGGTTTACGCAACTGAGTTGATTACCTCTCGTTCTCCTGCTGCCATCGAACTGGAAGAACCTACCATGCTCTACATTATCTATTCCTTTAATTATCTTGAAAGCCTGGATGAGATCGCCCCTCCGTAACCTTCTCTCGAGCGAGTTACAGTCCCAGCACATCCAAAAGGTTCTAGTACGGAAGTCCCCTAACCTCAATCATTGTGGTCCGCCTCTGCACCCCCTCGAGCGCCAACAATTCACCCTTATTTGTAGGCCTCCAAAACTGGATGCAATATTCCAACTTAGGGTGGATTTTTGAACAGAGCACTAGGGTAAAACCACCAATGTTCGGACAGTTAAGCCTCCCTGGTCTCATCATTCGCTCGTCCTATCTCAACGGTACAAGCTGGAAGCTTCATTTTTTGCTCCCGGGAGCAGGACACGATGAGTATGAGTGCAACAAAGATGTTGTCCTTCCTAGTCTCATGACAACTGATATCGCCTATAATGTGGGTGTCTGAACTTTGATGCGGAAAAAATTAAGTTCGGACACTTTCACCTTAGTTCGGACACTCCCTTTTTGAAATCTCAAATAGGCTTGAAACACTTCATTTTGAAAGAATAATAACCCAAAGTATTGGATCTTTTCTTTTTTATTAATAGAATATGACGATCGTGATTGAGTGAGTGAGCGACTGACTGTAATTCGAACTTTCAATCTCATCTAGATTATGGTTAGAACTTCATACGCGAATGACACTGATGGTGCAGATTTCAGGTACTATTTATAAGAGACATAGAAGCTGAAATTTGATGCATTGGTACCTATTGAGATGCAGATTTCAGGGGGGAATAAACTACTTGGGATTCGTTCCCAGGGGCATATTTTTCGGGTTGACCTTTTTCAAAAAAAAAATTATTTCGTTCCAGAGAATCATGGAGACAGAAGGCTGAAACCTTACTTAATAGGTACCTGCTGGTATGTAGAAACAAGAGAAAATCCAACTTTTGGGATACATATTCTGAGGGTACATATGAGGGTGCCATATTTTAACATATGTTTTGCTTCATTGAATCGGGCGGTGGCGGACATAGAAACCTGGAATTTGGTACGTAGGTTGCTCTCCAATCACTCATTTCTGGAAAAATCCTACTATTGTGGTAAATCCCTTGGGTGCACACTCTTCATTAAGTTTCATTATGTTTTCGGAATTTTTATTTTTAAAGCAGACCGAGCAGCACAGTTCGTTACATTCAGTAGACAAGTAGTTCTCGGCATGCTTAAATCAGAAAACATTCAACTTTAGGGACATATTTTCGCTCCAAATTTGAAGGTTCCTAGAAGAAAATTTATCTTGCAAATGTGTTCATCGTTAGCAATGTTCTCCTTCCGGAAGGACATTTCACCCGAATTAAAGCCCTGATGGCTTTTTCAACAGCCTCGGATCGATAATCCCTTGCATTTCAACCTCCTACCATGATTGCACTGCTTTGGAGGCACGTCGCACACTTAGATGTGCAAAGAAATATATGATGCTGTACTTTTTGCGCATGTGCTTGACTGTGTTCGAAGTTACATGTCCCGTTATGAAAGTTCGGACAGAGCCCCAAAGTACATTTTCTCTGAAAAACATGCCGCAACTGAACTTTTGTCAACTTTAAACGCTATTCATCTCAAGAGGACATCATATTTACGAGGATATGACACACGTGAACGTATGTCCGAACTTAAGTTTCTCATATATTTCTTGACCTAAGTTCGGACACACCGAAAGTAAGACAATAATCTGATCAATGCACGTGCATTCTGCGTAACAGGACTCCATGTCCTTAGCTTAGTTTTGTAGCAAAGTTTGCAACAGTGTCCGAACTTGGGTGGTCTTACCCTATCCGATAATGCAGCTTTATTTACCGGATTTATCATGCATTTTCTCTGAAATAAAGCTGCATTATCGGATAGTGCTCTGTTAAAAAATCCACCCTTAGTTACTTGATGTTACTTGCTCCCTTTTCCATGCAGGCATCCAGCCTCTTCTTAATACTAGTCATGAAATTGGAGCCACTCGAAATGATCGTCTAACGTTTTCTACGCTTTAACCACCCTACCTACAAGTGAAAAAGTTATTCCACGGCCTGAGTCTCACTTGAAAATGTCGCAACTTGAACTGATTCCCCGTGGTTCGGCTGTTACCATCCAATAGGAAAAATCTAGAGCGATAATAGAAAAAAACCATTATCGATTCCCTTATGAGTCCACGCACCTCCTTCATCATTTTGGCCTTTGAACCTTCTCGAACGTCGCTAAATCGCCCTTTTTTGCAGGTCTCCAGATTTGAATGCAATACTCTAGATGGAATCTAATTAATATCGAATAAAACTGAAGAATAACGCAGGATCAATGCAACGCCGGATGAAACCTAAATTCCTGTCACACTTAGCTACGGTCACCCGCACGTAAGGGAACTTGAGCTCCTCATCGATCATCATCATTTAAGTCCTACTCCTCACTCCCCTCCCCAAAGTCATATCTCCTCCAGACCTATCAATATTGCGACCGATGTGAAGGATATTACATTTACCATTGTTAAACTTCATTCATCTTTTTTTTTTACTCCATTCATCGAGGAGCTCCAGATCTCTCTCAGCTATACCCCTATCCTCCTTCCCGTTCACGGTGAAACCTATTTTCGTGTCGTCCACAAATTTACCAACCTTACCTGCGATGCCTTCATCTGGATCATTAATATGAACCAGAATTAGGAGCGGATGCAGGACTGAACCCTGGAGCATTCCGCTCGCGACTCCCACTTCTTGCGACACTTCCCCATTACCAGTAGCATAGCGAGGGGGCTAGAACCAAACTTGGGGGGGCTTCAGTCCCCCCCCCCCCCTCCTCGTCCAAGGAGTTACTAGCTCCCCCTCTGTTCCTCTTGGCTCCCCCCCTTCGGCAAAACCCTGGCTACGCCACTGCCCATTACAATTACCCTCTGCACTCTTCCCGAAAGCCAATTACTAATCCATTTACCCACTCTACCCTGGATACCGTGCGCTCCCAATTTAGTCAGTAGCTTCTTATGTAGAACGGTATCGAAAGCCTTCCAGAAGTCTAAGTGAACAATATCGACAAGATCCCCTTTATCCTTTTTCCGTCACGATGTCTTCTTAAACCGTGCTGGGAATCTCAGATGAGAGTTTCCCTCGAGAAATTCGATGATGCGATCCCTTAAAATGCCCTCCAAGACCTTTTCGGAATCCTGGTATGACTAACAGACCTATAGCGTCCCGGATCGCTCTTGTCCCCTTCTTACATATCTCGGTACGAAATTCGCTGCTTTCCAGTCCCTCGGTACTTCCCACGCAGAATGCGACTTTCAAAAATTATTCTTATATGTAACATGACATCCCTCGAGAGTTCCTTGATTACTCCCACTGGAATACCATCGGGGACAGTTATCTTCCCTGCTTTCAATTTCCCCTTTTTTTCCCTGATGATCTCTTCCGCGGTGATAACGACATTCTCGATGCATGCGTCAAAGTGACCATCATTGCCAGTTTATCATCGGATTCTTCCGAAAAAACAGAGGGGAAAAAATCACTAAGCATCCCCGCCGTACCTCCGCTACTGGAGACTGACTCCCCGGTGTCGTCCTTACGGGGTCCGATCAAATGCTGACACTTGCCGCTCGCGTATTGATGAAAAGCCTTGGGATTATTCTTTGCATTAATCGCTAGGCTCTCCTCAACCTACCATTTTGCCGATATAATTTCTTCCCGCTTCAAAAAAACGTAGCAGCCCAATATTCCTCAAACTCCTCTTGGTTCCCCGTGTGCGGGGAACAATACGGGCCCCACTTCTGCTTCTTACGTCTGATCAATAATTTAACTTTACTCGTAAACCAGACCGGCTGTCTCAGCAATCCTTTCGTCATCTTAGGGATGCAAAGATCCATCGAGTTTAGTTTAACCGTCTTAAATGCCTCCCACTGCTCCTCTACCTCAGGAAGTACACAAATGGTGTCCCCACTCCCTATAAGAAAGATTGGCAGAGTCCTATCCCACACCTTAAAAAGTATGATAATGGGAAATCCCACTCCCACCTTTTCCCCATGTATTTCATCATTGGGACTTGCATTGCCTAAATTTTATTTTTCCCTCCAAAGAGTATATCCCTACAGTTCAAATACTCATCAGAACAAAAGACAGAACTAATACTTACAGTTGTCTCTCCACCAAAGCACTCAGCAGCCAGATAGATGGGATCAAATGGCTTCACTTCAGCATCATTGAAGGCAAACCACTTGTCTCGCTGGAGAGCTCGATCTCGAATGAAGGAATAATAATGACCTCCCTCTGCTGTCCCTGTATGTACTGTAACGCCTATGAGCTCATATTCATAGGATTCCTCCTCATCCCCTTCCTTCTCTCCCTTCTCTTTTTCTGCATAGGACAGAAAATATTTTTTTAAATATGAATGGGGGAAAAAAATACCAGGGATATTAAAATCTCATTTCTCACCTGAGTTTTTGGCATGGGGCATAAGGTTCTTCTCCATGTAACCAGACATATCCAAGTGCAGAGGGAATGAGAAGTGTGTGTTCACCTTCTCTCTCATCATTGTCACCATGTTGAATGTGTAGCGCATTGTGTTGAAGCACAGAACTCGAGGTAGTTTCTTGAAGCAAGCTCTGAAGCAAGAATAATCTGTCAATAACAGTAGGACCAAGAGTTTGTCTAAGCAAAAAGCATTAAAGCAATCTCACCTTTTCTCTGCCCTCACTTTTCTGCCACACTGAGAGCAAGTATACATATTATCACCCTCAAGGGTGTCTTTGACAGTGACTTCATCTAGTGACTCGTAAATGTTCCGCATGTCAGCCACTTGGCATCTCACCGTGTAGAACTCCTCGATGTTTCGACTCACATGGGAACAATCCTTAGAAGCAGGAGACACTGTTAATATGGATATCTCAGAACCTCATGAATGCAATGAATAGGACATGTGAGGCCTTACAAGAGAAACAACATTGTTGGTAAGTTGACCACAAAATAAGGTCTTGACAAGTGTCTTCAGTGTAGGACTGGTCTCTTCTAATTTGGAGACAAGATCTATAAAAAATTCTGCCATGTCCTTCTGATCTCCTGTGTTCAATGGCTCATGATCCATAGTGTAGACCTTGCAGAAACTTCTTGGATTATAGGCCTTTCTCTCACTTTCCTGTTCAAAATATAGCTCAGCATCTAAAAAGTTCTCATTTGCCCTCAAAAAAATGGTTGATGGGAGACCTTACAAGAAGGTAGGCAAACATTCGCTGGAGCTCTGTGAGCATGGCTTCATGCTTGCTTTCTTGGAGACAGTTTGCTGAGAGAATGGAAGCCCGTGCCTGTGGCATCATGAAGAGATGTTGCATGCATGATGCCATGTAACATGTGGCACCAAGATTTGTCAACCCAACATAGCCGCAAGAGGAACGACCATCTTCATGGGGCCAGTAGTCCCAAGGATAAACCTCGTGGCTATCTGTATCCATAACCCAAGGAAGTGAAATCAAAGCATTCACCCCCTACTTATGTTCCACTTGCTTAAACACAATAGGCTATACTCTAAACATACCTGGACGATGTTGTTCCATGAGCTTCTCAAGAAGGATAGAGTAATTCCTTGTATTTCCCTTCACAAGCTCCACAAGTAAGTCAAATGCAGATGATCGAGACACCATGGATTTGCATTTTGGCAAGAACCGCTTCTTGGGACAGGGCAAGGCAAAAAGGCAGTCAAATACCTACAGGCATAGGAGAAGACAGAAGAAACAAACAGGTGAGCTTAAAGCATAAAAAATTTACTGTTAACCCTTTAATGCATGATTTTTCTTTTTTGGTGAAAAAAAACCTGGTAGGTTTCATTTACGTCCTAGAACACAGAACAAACGGAAAAAAATTTTAAAAACAAATTTGTAAGCAGTAGGCCTGAAAATGTTATTGTTGCTCATTTGCTACAAACAGCATTTTCAGCTTTTTAACCCATGCTGCATGGATGCTAGAACTTAGTCAGTCCGTCAACATTTGCACATACTTCAATGCAAAAGAAAATGTAAATATATGGATGAGCCTGGACACTGGATAAGCGTAAAGTTCTAGAAAATTGCACCAAAAATGTCATTCTGTCGCACAACGAAGCCAGATGTTTTTAGTTTCCTTGCAACCAGGAGTGTATAGCACCTAGTGATCGCATGGTTGCTAGGTATAAGAACCAGACTGCTACACATCTGCTAGGAACAGATTTATCTCAGGAGCTTGCTACCTGCACATTCTGAAAATGTTTATTTGGTATGTAGCATATCTGCTACATCATGCATTAAAGGGTTAAGAATCAACTTCAAAACCTAGACAGCTAACCTGTAGGAGAAATTCTTCACCATCCTTATCAGCCTTGAACTGTGGGTTGTACTTCATGATTCCAGTCTCAAGATTCAGCAATCCAATCAACCCATCATCTGGATGAATGGAGGTGTGAAGAGCTTCATAGGGTTCTCGTGTTAAGATAGCCTTTGCCACCTCCCTTGCTAAGGAATCCATATCAAATTCTTGGACTTCATCTGGTTTTAACCCATCCACAAGCCGACAGACAAGCCAAAAATAATCCCTTGAGTTAGAACCATATGGTTCCTTCCCTTCTTCTCCTGTGCTACCCACCTGCAAAAGAAATATTGCACAAAAGATCTATGTATGAGTAATGGTAGGCAGGGAAGGATAGCACAGATTGAATAACTAAGAAGCCAAACCCCATCAACGCAAAGAGGTTTCATCTGACAGGCAGCAGAAAGACATCCAATGAGCATTGAAAGAAGAGGGAGTGTACAACCCCGTCCTTTCCCTTTTCCCTCTCCACCACTCTGAATGCCCATACAGAGTCTACCAATCCAGAGGACATGTTTAAGAATGCAAAATGTATATATGCGACAGTGATATTTTGTGTATTCCAAGAGCTTACCTGTAGAAACCAGAACAAGCTTCCTTTCGCACAGATGGTTCAGGATCTTCTAGGATCAGATGTCTGACCAGATTCTGGACTCTTGGGCAAAATGCTTGGGAAAAAGCATTTTGAGCTACATCATTAGTTGAGAAAACCCAACATACCAGGAGGCTCAATGCATGGTGCACCACCTATGGCAGTTAAGGTTCCAATATCAAGATCTTTCCAGGATACCTGCTCTCAAGAAAAGGATGCAATTGGACAGACCTGTGCCCTACCAAGTACATTGCTCTTGTACTGATTGGGATCTTGAGGAATTGATGCATCTTCAAGGATGCTGATCAATCGGTCCAATGTTCCCTTCACTTCCATCATTGTCAACAAACCCTGTGCCATAGAGAAGAATTAAAAAATCCAGTCTTATTATCATGATCTCAAGAAGGGAACATCCATTCTCAAATGCAATTTATTGAGAGGCTTACATCAGAAAGGCTGGGGATGAGAAGTCGATCGGCACTGGATTTGCGAGGCCGTTTGCTCTTCTTACGTGGCATTTGACCCACATTTGGGAGAGAGGCAGCATGGGGCATATGAGAGGTCATTTCAAATATGTAGTCTACATCTGTCCCTGTGCCCAGGCTTTGGACCCCAAACTGACAAAGAAGATGAAGGAGGAAAGCCAATGCTTCTTGACTCCATTCATTCCAGTAATGACCATCATCTCTTCCTCTGCCCCCTCCCCCAGGTTGTAAGACTCCTAAAAAAAAAGCAAAAACAAAAAACAAGTAAGTAAAGAGAATTCTTCATTAAAACTACAACCAGACACACTATGGATGATGCTCCTTCTCTGACCAGACATGAAGATGTCAAACAGATGCCGGAGACCACCGCACTCTAAGAATCTATCTATCCATGTCTCCCCCTCCTCATCCTCTTTCTCACCATTCTTCTCTCCATTCTTCTTCACCTGAGAAGAGGTTCCACTCTGAGTATCACATACAATAACTAACAGGTTCCACTCTGTGAGTATCACACACACTAACTGACTATTGTCATTTCAGTTAATCAATGAAAGTGAAAAATAAAAAAATAGTTTTTTCCCATTGTTTTTGCTTGTCCCTTACTCTCCCATAAATGCCTATATCCTATTAATTTTGCTTGCGTATTCAGATTCAAAATTCGTTAATGCATTATGGAGATAGAATAAAAAGAATGAAAGTTTACACATTTTTTGGCTTTGAACATGAGCACAGCATATTATTGCCTTCAATGATCATATAAGAGAAGGGAAAATAGTGTTTTCATGTTGGTTCCAAAGATAAACATCATGCTTATCATTGATCATCATCTCCTTAATTTCATGCAAGTCATTGTTCATCTGCTTTTCATTGTTCCACTGCGAACTTCCACGTGTGTTCCCAGCACTTGATCCACTCATTTTCTTCAATTTGCTTATTTCTTAAATTGCTTGAGACAGACAATAAGGAAGTCCAACGAAAGCAGAGAAACTTGCATGTACCTGACGATAATGATTAGTTCGAGCAAGACTCTCAATAATGTAGAGTCCATAAAGTAGCTTGTGTGGGGACTGAGGATCCAGGAGTTGATGAGGATTTTTCAAGCTCTGAAAATCTTGGAAAAGGGATGGAGATGTGGGCAGAAGCATTAGAAGCTCCCAGATTCGTCTAGACAACATCTGGGCCCGCATTTGAGTTCCACTGTTCAATCTCTGCTGTAAGGCCAATCATGAAGCCCTACATGTTGCAACCATATCACATTTCAAAGAGGAACAAACCCAGATGTTAGAAGAGATTTCACCTGATGAAGGGAAGAGAGTCGATGCATGAGATCAAGAAGTTGCTGGAAGTGCAGGGGCTGCAAGAGCAACATCATGGGAAGGCGATCCTGACACGATGGAGATAATCCCATCCGTCTCCACCCACCCATGAGGGAAACAGTTTCATCTGAATAGCCCCTCTTTCCAGGTAGTCTCAAAGGGCTCACTATGACCACCTGAAGATCCTTGAAGCCCAGCTCTTGGATGGACTTCTCATCCGCTTCAAGAGGGAGTTCTTGATTCTGAGTGATAAGACGGAACCCTGCTCCGTGTTCCATGCCATGAAGGAGAGAGCCTAAGACAGAACTCATGGTGCTGGTTGCTGACTCAACAGCACAGTCCTCCTTTTCCTTGTGGTTCTTCTGGAGGCTTTCATGCCACCTGGTAATTTCTGCTCTTAGTTCAGCTACTAAGTCTGTGCTAAGCATGTCAAATGTGGTCTTCTCAGAGGAGCCTGCAAGTTGGACAACCACACGGAGGGGAGAAGAACCACGACTCCTCCATGCATGCTGGTAACATCCCACTGCTCCACCTTCCAGAGCCCACAGTTTTAGATGATATGCATATCTGCAAGGGAGAAAAGATAAATCAACCAAGGATGAAAAAGGCTCATCAGGGCCTTGATAAAATCAAAGAAATCCTCCTTTATGGTTTTACCTTCGATGAAATGCTTCAAGGTGGGACTTCAGAAGAAGAAGAGCTCTCTGCAAGATGGAGAGAGAGGCATCTTCATCCAAGTCCAGATTTTCAGCAGCACCAGCAATGCTTGCCATGCAACGGCTAATAAAACTCTCTTCCAACTCCAGCTGTGGACCCTGACTTGACAAGTAGTAACTTGTCAAGTAATTGATGCTCCCCATGCTCACATCTGCAATGTTCACCTTGCACGCTCAGTCAGCTAGGATTAAGTAAAAATGTCAAAGGAAAATTTGGAGATAGAGGAGTGCAACCTGTGCTGGAAGCCTTGAGAGCAATGGCCCAGAGGAGATCCATTCCTTGAGTGAGAACAAGAAGCTGCTGAGCAGAATCAGAGAGCCCTTGAGCTGTGGCAGTGGACAGTCGAGCCATATTCACCAGTTGCTGAATCAGGCCCAGAGCTCTCACACTCACAGTCTCAGGCTTCAGTGTCCCAAGTTTTGAGATGAATATGTGCTACAATGGCAAAGATACACCTTCATATATACTGTACCTTCTAAGCAGAAGAAATTTAGAAGAAAAGGTGATAGGAAGATATGTGTCTTCAACACTCTACCTTGGACCCAGCCAGACTGAGTGCATGCTGATCTTTATTTCTTGCTTGGTTCAGTAGCCAGGTGAAGAGATCATCTGAACACAGGGGGTCATTGGCCAGACATGACCAAAGAATGTCTAACTGCTCCAGTGTCAATCTGAAACATCAAAATATATCATTAAGGAAGCAAATAGCTATGCAAATCATACAGGGTGTCCCAGAATTGACTGAACATAGGGGGTTTTGTATCCTGGCCGGTCTGACCTAAGCCTCTGCTACCTTAGCTTAATGCATGAGGCCTACAAGACTATGCCTTTCTAGGCCATAGGTTCAGCGGCAGGACCTATGTTCAGTCAATTCTGGGATACCCTGTATATCTAGAAGATACCAGTATAATGGTCCTAATAATTGGCACTGGATGTAACTAAAAATAAAACCTATATATGTTCTGATTCCATTTACTTTTATGTCTACAACAAAGAAGCAGTACTGTCATAGACCTATGTCTATCAAATGTCACTCCAAAAAAATGCACACCTGAAGCTCTCATGAGATCCAGCAGAGGAATAGATGGATGTGAGGAATTGGAGTCGCACATGAATTTCCTGCTGATGTGAGTACATCTGTCTCAAAGGTTCATATTCGACTTTAGTATATGCCTCAAGGTTGTTGAAGAAGATGGCCATCATGCCATGCTCATTTTCCACCCAACGAGTGATGACATGAGTGTCCATGCTGCGAAACTGAGTGAAAGAGGCCAACAGGCGGGGAAGGAGGCGCAATGACACTATCACCATCCTGGCAATTGTAAATGCAAGGACATGTAACATCACTGTTATTACTGGTTCAGTCCTCAGTGATGGATGAGAAATCACATACTTATTCTGTGAAAGGTTCTGCAAACAGCCCTGGATGAACTTGATTCGAATGAACTTCTCAGAGTTGAAACACAAGAGATTACACAGAGACTTCTCAGCCTCTTCTGCCAAGCCCTCACTGAGATGTATCTGCATATGACCAATTTCAATTCATCTTGAAAGAATGTCCCAACAGACAAAACAAAGTACATGGCCAAAGTGGAAAAAATATTTTTACAATGTTCTCATCAGACAGAAGGTCCCACAGAAGAGTGTTGCCAGGTTGACAGACGTTCTGGAGGCTGAGGTGGGGAAAAAGGCGTGTGGCTTCAGGACGCAAAAGAGGTGCCTGACATGCACTCCCATGTCCTTGAGCATTCACTCGATGTAAGTGGTAGAGGGAGGCCATGTTGGCCAAATGCTGCTGTAATTGAGCACCGCCAACACTCATCTATGGCACACAAGCAACAAACTTCCTACCATTGGTTCAAATGGGATAAATATGAGAATATGGCCCAGCATTACATTCTGAGATGCTAATTGAGCAAGTTCCTCTTCACATGCAGAGTCTTCATCCAGATCAGCAAGGTTGGGATCTGACTTCACACTGACCCGAGAGGAGCATGTCCCCTCTGAGCCCTGATCCTCTTCAACTTCCCTGTCACATCATTCAAGAATCAGGATGCACCAAGAAAAACAAGCACTAAACCAAAAAAAGTATAAACTAAAAACAATACCTCTGTGGAGGAATGAAAGGCTGATACTCAATTTCTTGTTCAGGAATCTTTCCATGAACAAGTGTGGCCAATTCAGTGATCACAGCACCACTCACATCCTCACTCCCTCTTTCTGGAATGGCTCTCTGCTTCTTCCCTTGAGGACTTTCCAATCCAATCACTCCACTTGGCCTGAATAAAAGCATGAGTAATTTAAGTGGCCCCTTGTGGGAAGAAGAGGTAGGAATCCAGGACATGAAATATGACTGACACAGCATGAAGTGTGGGGGATGGTTGGCAAAAAAAGGCAGGGTTCTTCACTACTACTTCACATTCTCCTCCCTCTCTTTTTCCTTGTCCTTTTTCCTCCATCTCTTCTCCTTCTGGCACTTCTTGAACTTCCACAGTCACAATTGGGCACATCTCTGCAAAATGGATGCAAGAATGAGAATAAGGAGAAGAATGAGAATAAGAAGTGTAACTCTAAAAAACCCTGAGATTTCAAAAAGAAATGAATGAATGCAGCACAATTCACCCTGAAGCAATCGAGGTTTCTTAGGAGCACATCCCTGCTTCTTTTTCTTTTCTCTCTTCCTGATGGCTCTTTCAGGTGAAGGAGAGACCTTAGCTTCTGTTTCACTTTCACTGTTTGTATCAATTGCAGCTGTTGAAGGTCTCTTATGCTTCTCAACTTTCTGCTTTTCTTCTCGTACACACCCCTCCACTTCCGAACTCCCCAACTCATCCTCTTCTTCCTCATCTTCATCTTCTTCCTCTTCTTCATCATCTCCTAAAAAATTATCCCCAGGTTCATAGTAAAAAAAACTTTTGAAAAAAGGAACAAATGGCCTAACCATTAGTCCATTAGTAGAAGTACAACACAACATCCTCATGATACAACACAAGTATTTCTTATTTCTCTACCTTTCCAACCTGACACGAGGCAGGTAAGGCCTTAAAGGTGTACATCATAGACAGATTGATATTTTTCCAACACCCCCCAAACAAAAAGCCTTCCATACTGGTGTAGATTTCTACCTCTGAGATACGAGATGAAATCTGGCTCTCTCTAACTAAATCTTCACTTTCATTTCACTTCTGCAGAGTAAACAGCTGACTGTTAGAAGGACCTACATTATATTTTTTTCTCCCTGTCACTGCTACAAAGTAAGCCAGTTTCAATCTTCCAGTGTTCAAGAGAATAAAGAGGATACAAAATACTCTTTAGCACAGGGTATACTTTATATTAGGGCAACAGCCTGAGTGGATTTTTTTTTCATGGGTGCATCTCTACAAACTATAAGGCTCAATTGCAGGACTGCTTCTCCAGGGTACCATATTGGAGAGTAATGAATCTCCACAGACCAGGGATATCACACTGGAGGCACATGGGTCCAATCCAGCTCATTAGTAGATTTTTTCTGGCTTTCAAAGCCCTCTTAAATAGTGTAAAAAATTGCAATCAAATCTTAACTTTTTTTTAATTAAAATTTGAGGTACAAAAAATTGGAAGCTAATATGGTCCCCAATACCTCTTGAATACCAATACCTCTTGAATACAAAGCAGAAGTATTGGAAAATAAATGTTCAAATATTTACTATTTCTAGAGACCCAATTATTGTAAATGTGGGAAAGAAAAGGGCAACTGAGCCTTGGTGGCAGCAGCAACAGGCAAAATAGGCATGTTCAATTGTATGGAAATGTAAAATCAATCATTATGAACATTAGTCATTAGTACAGGCTCACTTAGTTGGTGAGAAATGGAAAAGAGATGGGAATGCATGAAGGATGCTATTCAAGAAGGATAATGGGGAATGATTGCAGGTGAGATAATCCAGCAACCAAGAAGTAAAAATATGTCTACACAATTATATTTGTTCTACCAAAGAATCCCTGAGGCCTGGACATTATGGGTAATCCATGACAAAAATTCTGTTCTCATAATTTAGCAATATGAGTTATTGTTTGCTTGAGATCTGATGTTTAAAAAATCTGACATAATTGCAGTCCTAATTTTAAGCTAAATAATTCAGTTTAAGAGCAGAAAAAAAACACTCCACCTCACTACAATCATTCCACAGTGGCTGAGACTGACTTAATTGATGGAAATATGCATAGGAAGGCAACAAAAAGCATATATATTTTATGTGTTACACTTCCACAAATGAAAAAATTAAAAAAATATATATTCCTTCAATGCCCCCTTGTACAGGTTCCAGCAATGATGGCAATCTCAGCATTCAGTGAAATGATGAAGAGCTTCAACTGATTCCACATTTCTCTTCATTGAGCCAAATTTGACCTGGTCAAAAACAAATAAAGACTAACCCAAACTAGACATCTGTGTTGAATCATCGTGCATGAACTGTGGGCTGGTGACAATATGATTTTCCAACTCAGAATCACTGTCTCCACTGTGACCACTCCCTTTCTTTTCTTCTCCCTGAAATGAAGTCAATACATTCTGCAATCCATTCAAGACAAACAGGGTGGAGTAGTTCAATACCAGACACATTCAAATCTGACCTGTTCTTCTTCTGACTGACTGCCATCAACACTGATACTGTGGTCACTGCTCCATCCTCCATCTCCGGGATGTCCTTGCCCTAGACCAGCCAGTTCCCTCTTCAGGAACAAAGTTAATGGAGTTGTTCTGCTGTCTGCCAGCAAATGCCCATATGTGAATGCACTCGTCCAAATGAACTTTGTCAGTGATGATGCCAAATACAAGCTCTGCAAGAAAACACATATGGTGAACATTGCCCTGTGAATGTAAGGAGCAGGAAAACAAGGAGATGGAGGTAAGGAATCATGGTGGTACCTGTTCATTGTGTTCTTTTGGATCAAGCTTGGAGAGGAGTCCATAGAGGTGCATCACAGGTCCAGCTTCAAGATGTTTGATCAAGGAAGACAGGATCTCATAAACCTGCTTTCCACAATGTTTTAGCTGAGCAGCTGCCCAGATGACATCCAATTGCTCATTACTAAGCCGTCCCTCGAGGGCCAAAAAATTCAGAATTGCATGGCTCTGCTTGATGACCTGATGAATGGACCACACAATACAAAAACTTCAGTTTTCTCAGAAATTCAAAATTCCAAATCATGCAATATGAGAGACAAAGTGCACAAACCTCCACATGTATGTTGGGTCCAAATATGTGTTCCACAATGTGGCTATTTTGAAGCCATGCAGCAAGACACAATGCCAAATTTTCAGCTTCAACAATGCTCTCTCCACCATAGAGCTCATTGAAAAGGCTGATGTGATTGTTGATCTGAGATATTCCAGCAAGTCGCATAGTCAATGTAGAGCTGGTGAAATACTTGAAAGCCAAATCTAGGCCATCTTTATCAAAGTTCAAGTGGGCATCCAAAGGATCCTTCACCACTCCCCATATAAAGTCTATGATAAATGCAAAAGGAAAAATCAGCAAGTAAAGCAAAAAAGCTTGCAGCACCTGAGCCCCTGTTTCAAAGGTTCAATTTTACTAACTCACCGGCATTATTTCGGCTAATGGATGACTTCAGGTGACTATCCTTCATACGGCACATATATCTCAATATCTGACTACGAAGTGGGGCAAGAAACTGCACTGTGGCTCGAAAACTGAGCCAAAGCTTTAGATTGGAGAAGATGGTGACTAGGGATTGTGCAATGGAGAGAGGAAGTTCTTCAGGACTTCTGCCCTCAAAGCAGTGCATAAGAACTTGAATCCCACCATGTTTGATGAAGAAGACCACATTGCGGAGGAGGTGAGTTGGGATTTCAGAATCATGGATATCACAGAACATGGACAACTGACTCACTTCTGTATTTGATGTAGTTTCTTCTAATTTCCCTTCTATACCTTTTTTAAATATCATGTATAGAGGAAAATTGAGAAGAAAAATCTTGCACATACACCAAAGCAGTTTCTCCAATTCTTCCATACTGTATTCTTCTTCATCTTCTGCATCATTCTCTTCATCTTTCTTCAATGTCTCACTTTCAGTTGAAGAGTTTAACTTGTTTTCTTTGTCATCACTCTCTTGTTTCTTTTGAGGATCTTCCATTGTTTTTTCACGATCATGATTCAGTTTTCTGCAGAATTTATTCAGTTCCTGAATTCCCAAAATAAGCACTTGCTGAAGGATACAGTTAAAGCGTTCAAAGTTCTTGGGATCACGGAAGCAGCAAGTGCACTGTCTGCAAGGACAAAAATGATTTACATAAGGTCTATATCTATGAAAAACTTGCGATAAACTGTCATCCTCACTTGGTCAACTGGTATACTAGCCTCAAGACCTACGTTGTACTACCCAGTTTCCATGAATACAGAATGCTTGTAAGTGCAAACTTTGTGCAAAAGTCTTCCATCCCTGCAACTTTCAGGTCTACTCGGTTCATACCATAATACATGAAATGCAATCCCTTACCATCAAGTTGTAAAGTATAATTTTCTCCAGCAATAATTTAATATTGGGTAGCAATCCAGTGGCAAGGACTTCATTTCAAGATTGATCAGAATTATGAAGATTGAATAATTGCTGGAGAGACCATCCAGCATGATGGTGCACCCTCTCACATATCTGCAGAAACTAGGTAGTTCCTTAATGAGGGGGCAAAAGACTTCATTGAGGTAAATAACTGGTCCCATATACAGGGTGTCCCATAAGTCCCTATACCATTTCAAACTGCAGCAAGCAGGACAATGTTGTTAGCATTGATGGAAGGAATGTTCTTTAGTATTTCTTTTGTGATAGTGACTTTGAATCAGGCTTAAAGGGAACTAGCTTCAAATGCATATTAGAAAGGTATGCTTGTTTATGGACATTTTTGGTACATTTCTTTGAATCCTCTTCTACAAATTTGCTAAACTTTATATTTTTCTCTCTTAACTTCAGAAAGTCTTAAGAAACAAAAAAGGAAGTATTTCATTTAATTTCCTTTAGCTATTGTGAGAAAAGGCTTCACAATTGATGCTGCAACAACCAAGAAAAGTTGCAACCTGGATGGAGGTCTTTGAGAGTCCCATCAGGGTTAATGGGGAGTTTCTGTGATTTTTTGATGCTAAGCCTCATGCTAAATGTATTGATGCAAGCAGAGAGGATTTTGAGGCACTTTCAAGACATAGGAATACCTATATTTTTGACAAAGATAATTTCAATTGACATGCTATTGTTCAGTTAATATTACTTTTTTTTTTCAACTGTTTAATTGATGTGATTTTTTGAAATGGTATAGTGACTTATCGGACACCCTGTAGATTCCAATGTTGTGTGCTGAACAGGGTATAAGTGATACATTTAGCAACTTATTCATTGAATGATATAAGAAGTGTGAGTTTTCACATCCATAATGATGAATTCGACTTCCATAGTGTTTATGCTTACCAAAATCAGTATAATCAATGTCACCTTATTTTTGGCTCACCCTGCATATAGGCCAAGAAAATAAGCTTTTTTGCCACCCTTGTAGGTTGGTGCAACACAGACAGGGTCAGAAAACTCTGCAACTTTGTAGGCATTAGAATCTCAAGTGAGCTGCCCAATGATGATGACTCCAAGGTGAAAGAATGGGTCAAGAAGTGTATATGTGAACTGAGATGGATAGTTTTAAGGCTCCTTCTAGCAGGAAAGTAAAGAAAGCTTGGTTTCTTTGTCTTGAAAGATACATACCTTATGGATAGGAATTCCAGAAACCATTGAAGCACCTTCTCATTTGGGACATATAGAACCAGTGAACCTCCCTCCACATTTGAAATATGTAGAGAAGACATTACATGGATGGTGATTATGCAAATAAGTGAACCTGGTTCTCTAGAGTAGCAGTATCATTATGATTATTATTATGGACAAATGATAGATATTTGGTCAGACCCATCATGCTAGTTTACATCATATGCATCAGCATATCATAATGCCAAATCTATCAATTTATATTATGCTTATGGATGACTGATACATAATGGCAGTAATTTCTGGAACTGCATCCAAATTGGTTCTTGATAGAAAAAATATTAGGAAGCAGGAGCCTTCTTAATTATTGACTTATTGCAAGAATGACTTTGCTAGATATATATAGCAAAAATATTTTTTCTTACTTTTGAGCCCATGACTGGCTGTAAGAAATAAGAAGAGCTAAATCACTCTTCTCCAGGTGAAAACTTCTTGATTCTTCTGTTTCAGGCATGGAGACTCTGCTCAGCTCCACTGTCAAAAGGAGAAAAAAAAACAGTGAGTCTTCTAATCATAACAGTAACCCAACAGTCAGAAGTTAAACTATTTTCAAATTGAATTCATAGCCTTCACAGGGGCAGCACCATTGCATAATCAAGAATTAAAACCCAAAAACAGTGTAGGAAAACATAAGGAAAGTAGATGAGGCAGTGTAGACAGCCTGAAGATGACAATCAAAATCAGGTTAAGGCATATAGGATAAGATGCTAACCAAACAGGACTAAAGGATCAATATTGTATCTCACGCATGAAAAGTATGGTTATGGTACAAAAACAAATATGCCTAGGTCTTCTTACATCACCTTCATGAGAATGATATAGCTCTTAGCTAGGATTTTCATGAACAGTCATGACTCACCTTTGCATAGCAGTTCCAGGACTTTTTTGCAAACATCACAAATTGTATGGGACATTGTCAGTACTTTAACCCAACACTATGTCACTAATGTGCATAAATTTGGGCCTGAAGGTTCACTGGATAGGCCCTGCATCACATGTATCCACAGCAACCAGGTTTCTCATAACAATCGCAATATGCACAATCACAGCTAAATTTCATAAAACTTCCAAATTGTGAGAAAAAGCAGAATGGATTATCAAAGTTAAAGACTAGCACAAATTGAAAGATCATTGGTCAAAATGATAGTGATTCCCCTTGTGAAAATACCATTTTAAGACCATAAACAAAATGGCCACATGTATAATGTCACATGTCTAGAGTCTGGACTCTAGAGCTCAACCTATTGATTGTTTCAAGAAGTTCATGCCCTTAGGTATGGTGGAAAACATGGTATAGTAGAAAATAAATATATTCATCAAAATATTAACTTCTAATGCCCCGAGATGTCATAAGTCAAAATCTTGACAAATTAGCCAAAATTATGCATTCCACAAAACTTCCATAAAATTTTCATAATTAACTTGCAATTTCAAGCAATAGACCAAATTAAAGCTATATATAAATTACAACTTCAAATTAGACCTTTCCAATTATGTATAGCTATGATTCATGTGCAGCTATAATGAGTTACACTGATCACTTTAAAAACTTCAAAACAATTGTGAATTTTGATCCACCATTACTTGATGTAGGAGGGCTAGTAACTATACTGGACTTGGTAGATTTTTTAGACCTTCATAACCTCTGAAAGTGCCAGCTATGTGGAGTTGCTATTTTCATCTCCAGAGTGAGAAAAATTGAAATGAAGTTGGTGATGAAGCCATTTTAGGTCAATTTTGAGCTTATTTTTGTCCATGTGGAAGTCAAGTTGAAGTTGACATACATATTCAAAAAACTTTATACCCCTTTCCAGTAAAATGGGTTACTTAAGACCATCCTTTTTAAATCAGATCAGATAGGAAATCTTCAGACTTTGTTGATGCATAACATTACAGAAGTTTAATTTATGTTTATTAAAAAGATATTGTTTGTATCCAGACACCTCATGAAAATTTCCTTAATGACCTTATGAAAAAATATGGGACAGATATGGGGTTTGACACAAGTCATACAAATATAAATATGGATGCCAAGTCTGAACTTTGGCCCATACATTTACAGCCTAAATTGCCCACATCATATCTACAACATTCCATCCTACTTCATCTAAAGGAGAAATTGTAACTTTCTTCAATTCTTATCCTGAACTAAGAGAAATATTCTATTACAAACTTGAATTGGGCATGGCTCCTTCAGAGATGCATTTTAGCAACCTTTTCACGTGGGATTTTGGATGGAGGCAGAGTAAAGATGAACAGCAAGAATGAACACATGAAGAATTGTGCAATATGAACAAGATGTGGGTCTTTATAGTCTGCTCATCCAACGAAGTGGGATATAGCAACTTCGTCACTAGAAGCCCTCGTATGGATGGACTCCTTGTCCTGCTGACATGGATTAGTTGAATTGGCAGGAAACGCTCAATGAGCTTGGTCAAATTCTAGAGTTTAACATCTGCGCATATCTACATCTCATGCCTCATTTCCTACAATATATACAATTGTATAACTAACGAGAAAGGGGATTTAGCAGTTCCTTCCATCCATACGCTCTCGTGAGTAACAACTAGGCCTAACTCACGCATAGGCCTATCGTGTCCGACAGAGCCGGGAGCAACCCAAGATTAGACATAAAACGAAGACCTCAAGCCGGAAATCGTTCCTGATACTATTCCATAGATACTTCTCTAAGCCCAACTTTATCTATTTGAACAATAGCTCAAGGGCGGAGCTAAGCCTTTACGAACAAGGGACTGACGAGAAAAACGAGAGAGCAAGAGCGCCGCCATCCTTCTCCATAAATCACGCGGAATGCGAAGTGCGGAAAGAAATTATAATTTTTATCTAAAAATTCAATTAAGAGAAGGCGCAAGTGCGTATACATTCATTCCTTTTCGTCGCTGCCCATCCCAACTTGAGGTGGGGGTCGCGGTTCAGGCAGGCCCAGAAGCGTCCTCCAATGTTCCTGATCTAGGGCAGCAGATTCAAGCACAGAAGGCGGAATGTTGAGCCTCTCGTAACAGCTTCGCAATTTAGTCGTTTAATTTTGTATGCGGCCTTTCCGACTGATCTTTTGCTATTATTCCGGATCAGGAAACTCTTTTCGGGAGTCTCCCAAGAAGCATGCGGCAGACGTGTCCAAGACACCAGGCTTGAGGTCTCTATCCGAAGAAGTAGCCGCTCACCCAAAGATCCTCACGGAAGGCAGCAGTCCGCATCCTCTCACAACGCGTGACGCTGCTCACCCGACGCAGGAATCTCATTTTTAGCTTGCATCTGTGATATCATTCTTACGGTAAATGCTTACGTTCCACGACCACATTGAAGGTGGGGAGACGAACAAAAACACTAAAAATTGAGTTTCGCCTCCTTGAAAATTTCACATTTGGCAACCACGGTTCTCCGGAGTTTCGGCAAAACTGAAGAAACCCTGGAGATGAGGGATAACTATCACGTTTCTATATCGACCTAATTCATGAACCAGAGCTCAGAGTAAATTTCGGAGAAAATCGCCCTTGTTCTCCCAGGGCGCAACGCTTGAAGTCACGGATTTTCCCGACTTTTTTACTTTGTAGGGACATCATCATCCTACAGGAAACTCGGTAATATGTTAACGCTCTGATGCGATTAGGTTCATCAGAATATTGAAGTGAAGGTCAGGGTCAGTGGCACAACCAAACTTAATGGAGATGGGAAGCTAACCCAAGCTCCCATTTCGATGGGAGGGTGGGTTTGCCGGTGTTCCAGAGTCATGAGCCTAGGGCAGGGGTCTCAAACTCGCGACCCGCAAACGGTCTCAATGCGGCCCGCGTACACTGAAAGAAACATGCTTCGGGTCGAATATACGTAATATAAGGTGGTGGTAAATTATTCATTTTACCATTTTACACTTGCACCCGCAGAGAGGTCCGATCTTGGCGATGCGAAAACTAGTTTGAGACCCCTGGCTTAGGGTCTCTTACATCCGGTGTACCATATCGTATCATATCGTATTCGATCAAGATTGAGCAGGGCTTTCAGATGGCACAAATTTTAAATCACATGGCCATGATAGTATCTTCATCAACTGCCACCGAAATTCGGACTGACTTTTTTGGGGGTCACTCCGTACATACGTGGTGGGGGGTTTCAAAAAGTTCTGAGCCTGAGGCACTTCCAGTTGCAATACATCATTCTTTCTCTATTCTTGAGAAGACAGGTGTCTTCGATGGTGACTGGTAAAATTTGATCTTATTTGTCGATTAAAGATAGCATCTCTGCATTTTTTCAATGTGCTACCAAAGCATCCGTTGAAGAGGTGTTAAAATTGAGAGGAATGCCGTGATGAATTTTCTAACCTGTAAGGAATCGATCTCCCTGCAGATCTTTCATAGAAGTATCAGTAGGACTCTATCCTCTTAGCTGCTGAAAGATCTGCTGGGCGATCGACTCCTTAGAGGTTAGAAAATTCATCACGGCATTCGTCTCAATTTTAATAGCCCTTCAGCAGACCCTTTGGTAGCACATTGTAAAAGAATTCATGGACACTATCTTTAATCGACTGTATTGCAACTGGAAGTGCCTCACATTTAGAACTTGTTGAACCCCCCTCCCCCATGTATATGACCCATCAAAAATAAAAAGTATCCACGGCCGGAGACCATGGGAAAATTAAGAAAAAACAAAAAAACAAACAAATTCACTGTCCATATTTTCAGCCAATTCACTAGTCTTATTGGGGGGGGGGGGGGACTTGCCCCTTCTCGTCCCCCTAGCTGCGCAATTGGTGGTGAAACTCGAAATACGTGTACCTTTCCACAAAAAAAAAATGATGGAGGCAAGCGCGGTTGCCCACCCAGACCCTAAGGCCCTAGCCTAGACTGTCTGGTCTGTAATTCTGTATTTCTTTTTCTGCTACATCACGAATACTCTGGCAGGGAGCAGTAAGTTTAAAATGGCTCAAGAAGCCATCGTTCAATCAGTGAAGAGGCAGCTCTACATTAAGGTGCAAAAGTCCTTTCCCCTCGCATAAGCCAACTTTCTTGAAGCATATCACTGGAAATTTCTGGAGAGATTTTTGATAACTTTCTAGAATGTCAGGAAAGGTCTATATATAGCTGTGAAAACCGCAAATCGTTGTAAACCTTCTTGAATTGGGAGAAAATGCCTCAAAAACGAAATTCTACTTCGTCGAAAATGAAGTGATCAACTATTTTACACTTCTGGAACAACGGCCATCGATCTCCTGCCACAATTGCTCGTCTGACGAAGATCCCCATTCGGACTGTCGAGTACAATATTGCCAAGATCAAAGAACGAGGCGCAGTAGAGAATAGACGACGTAGTGCTCGACCCCACACAGCACAGGTATATCCCAAAGATATCCCAGAGATATCCCCTTGGGACAAGTGCGATGTCCCAGAGACAAGGATTAGGGACATCTCAGGGATATCAAAATGTCTGGGCCCAATGACATCCCAAGGATATCCCTTTCTTGAAGAAATAGCACATCCCAGAGATGTCCCAGGGATATCCCATTGGGACAAGTGAGAAGTCTCAGGTAGCACTTGTAGGG